ATACAGTGAACAGAATGGATGCAGCTGCACGATCTGGAATTTGCAGTTGACCTAGCTGTTCTATCGCACACGCAACAGCAAATGAGGGAGACGAAGTCCAGTTTACAGACAGTCTCTGTAGCAATAGGCTTCAACATACACAAAGAAAAACGCAGGATCCTCAGATGAAACACAACATACACCAACCAAATTACACTTGACGGACAAGCTTTGGAATAGGTAGAAATCTTCACATACCTCAGCAGCAACATTTATGAGCAGATGGGTCTGATGCAGATGTGAAGACACGAATTAGCAAAGCAAAGGCAGAACTTCAACAGTTGAAGAACATCTGAAATTCAAAACAATTATACATAATCACCGAAGTCAACATTTCCTATGCGAAAGTTAAAACCGTTCTACTGAATGGAATGGGAACTTCGAGAACCACAAAAGCCACTATCCAAAAGATACAAGTGTTTATTAACAGTGGATCCGTTGACCAGATGTTATCAGGAACAACCTACTGTGGGAGAGAACAAACCAGATTCCAGCGGAGGAATAAATCAAGAAGAAGCGCTTGCCGTGATAGGACACCACACATTGTGGAAATCACCAGATTACGCCACAGGGAAAATTATAACCTGGAATGCTTAGGATACGGAAAAAAGGAAGATGAAAGAATGCGTTGCTCCTGGAATCAAAGGCAGAAATCAAGATAATAAATAGTATATGAGAACAAGTGGAGAGGGCAGCGCAGAACAGAGTGGGTTGGAGATAGTTGGTCGACGGTTCATGCCCCACCAGGGGAAACAGGCGTGATTAAGTAACTAAGTTAATTAGCTAGTAAGTAGCTAAGTTAGTTAGTAAGTAATATAGAAATGGAAAATAATTCAATTTAAAACAATAACAAAAATTATAATTAAGATTAGGCAATAGTTTTATGAAAATATACTTGAAATGTTTCACTAATGAATGTTTTGACTTACCGCGAAGATCTTGAGGAGGATTTCGGCAAACTATCAAATAACAAACCCACAGAGTACGGAGAACATATCGCCTACCGAAGTAATAACTTAAGATAACCACAAAATACATCGATGTAGTACTTGCTGGATAGTAAAAAGATAATTTTATGGAAAGTACCAAGTGAAAATATAAATCCAGAGAAAAGAGACTGAAAAATATCGGACACAAGCTGATTTTCGATCGTAACTACTGGCAGAGTCGAATACTTGATGTTCTGTTCAGATTTAGAAGTTAAATGTCTAAATCAGGTGTTTCATATGATTTACCACAAACGTTTAGTAGGTAATTAAGTATCAGACTTCTGTGGAAAGTTGACAAAATTAAAGAGGATTAGAGACGATATCATGTACACTAATCAACCTATTTAATTTACCTAACAATATGATAGGTAGGTAGATAAAACATCCAACTGAGTTAACGTCTAACTCTAATCAATCTAAGGATTTTGCACAACCTCACCCATTGTCTTTCGTAGTTACTGCCTAACTACCTGGGTGACGTTGTTTGGAAATCCTTAGGTTGACCAGCTTTAGAGATTTATACCGTTAGATGTCGGCCCAGTGGTCCAGAGGTTAGGAGTGAACGCACAGGACCGAAGGTTTGAGTTGGAATCCTGTGAGCCATGGATGTGCACCGCTGATGAGTCCCATATCAGGATGAAACGACCGTCTCCCAATGCTTCCAGGTTTTTAATGGTGGTCTAACTAACAATGATTGATTCATGATTTCAGTAATAAACAACAATCTCCATAAGACTATAATGCAAATGATAAGACAGTTGTATTCAAGTGTCGGATATTCGTATATTTAACTTGAATCATTCTTATTCACTACAAATCAATCTGTAATTAACAAAAAACTACCTTAAGTAGATAGTCATGTAAAGTCAATAATCAGAAACCGGAAACCATATTTCAGCTGAAGTATATAGATAAACTTAAACAAATATGACATCATAAACTAAGGCAGTTAATTATGTTACGTAATCCTTTGCTTGAAAATCACATGTACAAAAACAAATATTTAATAAATAGGAAAATATTATTATGTTCGTCGACAGTTCTGATCATAACTTTCCGAACATTATATTATGTTTTACGAGGTTGTAAAGATAGTTAAGTTACACATTTGAAATCATGAATCAATAAAAGTTGGACCGTCATTAGAAACCTGGAAGCACTGAAAGACGGCCGTTTCGTCCTGGTATGGAATTCATTAGCATTGCGCATCAAACGACTCCTGCACCCCGCAGGATTCGAACCCAGGACCTTCGATCTTGCACTCGAACGCCTACCCTCTAGAGCACTGAGCCAGTATCGCGCGTCTTGTCGCTATTTGGTCGGTACATGATCAATCCCAATGGAATGAATAAAGTCTGTTGATCTTCAAAGTTAGACGTCTACTGAATGTTTTATCCGGTTTAAGACACGTATTGAAATGCCAATAATGGGTAAATTTATTTCATAACGTCGCCCATGTACTATTTTACGAGAATTTTTAAGCTTTTCGTCTGATATGTCAAGGAAACATTACTAAAAACGTATGGTGCAGCACCATTTAAACAAGAATACATTTAAGATCAAAAGTTTATCTAAAAGTTTTAATAAATAATCCACTGTTAAAATATATTTATATTCCATCTGAGTCCTTATATATATATATATATATATATATATATATATATATATATATATATATATATATATATTTGTTCAACGTACTAAAACAACGTGAAAAATGACAAAATAATATTCATGGAATACATTTCATATCGGAATGAATACTTACTATTTCAAATTTATTCAAGACCAATTTAATATGAACATCTTACATGGAAAAATTATTAAATCATGTATATCATTTTTTCGCGGCGCATTAAAAATCTCATGCTTTTAATCATTACCTTATTAAAGAGAAACATATGAAGAACAAATATTGGCTAATCAGTGCATACTGCTGATACTACTGAAAATAAGAGTATACTGAGTAATGTGTTTATTTTCTCTAAGGCTTTTTACTCTTCCAAGTTTGTACAGTGGCATGTAATTGACCATTTTATTCATGCTTCATGAACAAAATAAACACGAGCAGGACGCAAAATTATTAGTTGCTGAACTAGTGAACAATCCGTTAAATAATTTGACCAAGTCTAGATGAAACTTATAATAATAGAATATGTTTAGCCAATAAATCAACTGAGTGCTGCAAAATGCCTCGATGAAAATTTAACAGTAAAATTACTTGATTACAGATACAAAAACTTACATTTCATCACTGCTTTGTAAAACAACAGTCACTCATATCAAAATAGATTTAATCCAAAGCATTGGGTAATGTGTATTGGAATAAGCCTATCAAATTTCTGAAAACTAGGAAATTCATTAGTCGTACCATAGCATAAATAAAATAACTAATTGAGACAACTAACAATTTTCTATCGACATTAGTTTAGTTCTATCGGAACAAACTGGTTGTGTGCTGAAAATTCGTTTTTTTTTTAAAGTGAAACAATCGTTTGAAAATAACGAACAGATTGTAGACTGACGTTAACAAAATCAGCCAATTTTTAAACGTATCCAATATTCGTAGGTTGTCATATTTCAATGGCGCAGGTGCATCCACTTCTTTGTGTTCATTCAAATCCTAATCTTCTGGATTCGTCAACACATCTACCTTTGTCTTTCTAAACTAATCTCACTGAATTATACTTCTCGAATCATATCTTCGCTCCCTAATCTTCTCCATCATTGCTAATACCTCTATTATCGCTATCACTCCTGGCTTTGAACTGACAGTTGCATCTCTGTGCTAATGTAGTATGACAATCTGAACTGATGTACATACTTACGTACGAAGTTCTACGTTGCAACTGACTGACTAACATATTTCAATACTACTGCTGTGGTGCGCGCTACTTATAAGTAGTATATGACGCGAGTGTAAACGTAATGTCTGGCAGCAGTAGATGGGGGAAGATCAAGAAAGGAAGAACAGTGGAAACACAATGGAATTTGTGTATGAAACGCATGAATAGTGAGTGAAATGACAGACAATGGATTGATGATGGATTGAAGATTTGCAAATTAACCGTTTACGATATGGTTCTCCTATTTTACTGAGTAACTCTGTAATTTGCGACTAAATACAATTGGGTTGCCCTCACCTGTGTTCTCCTTCACTACACTACTACTACCACCACCACAACAACAACAACAACATATAATTCCATGTAATGATTATAAGTATACCACCAGACAATAGATCATGATACTCAATTATTATCATCTATCATGTATTCATTCATTCATTCAATTTCCAATGTTCATAATTGACATACATACAAAACAAAACAAAGAGGTGAAAAACAATGTAGAACAACAAAATGTTAGAATTTAGTAATAATAATAGTCATAATAATAATAATAATAATAATAATAATAATAATAATAATAATCTTAGAATTGAAAGTACAATTGGCGCTTCTGAGAAACGAAAAAAAAACAAAAACAATACAACCTAAGGCAGTAAAAATTGAATATTGAATAGACCGGAGAGAAAAAAAATAAAGTATAGATTATTTAAACAAAAAACAACAAAGTGTGTGTGTGTGTATCAAAGAAAATAAAAAATAAACAGAAAACAAAAAAATAACAACAGACTAGTAGGGGAAAAAAAATACAGAAATAGATTAGTAAGTAGTAGTATTAATAGCACATAATTATTTATCATGTGTAAAATAATAATGTAAAATATAATGTTAACTTAAAAATTTCAAGAGATTCATTCATATTTTTTTTCTGTGCAATCAATACACAACTCAACATCATCATCATTATCTTCTATTGAATAAGAATTTTTCGTTACATACATTGATTTAAAATAAGAAAAGAAAAAAATTTTTGAGAGAGAAAAGAAACAAGAGAAAGAAAACAGTAAAAAAAACAGGAAAAAGAAAAAATATAAAAAACAAACAAATAAATGAATGAATGAATGAGAGTGAAAATGATTAAGAAATTGAAACAAAGTTTCAATGACATGTGGCTGTGTATATGTATATATGCATATATGTATATATATCTATTATCTGTACTTAGGGATGATTGACAATAGTGAATGTCTTCTATATATATGAAAGAAAGCGTGCGAAATAGTGCATTAAATACAAGATATAGTTTTTCGTTTATTTGTTTGATTTTTTGTAATATAAGATAGGAAATATATCTATGTATATATAGGTGAATCTTGAGGGGACAACATAAAAGCACGCATCACAATAGTATGTATATATATAGAATAATCTGAAAATAAGATATCTCTTGTTTGATTTAATTTGTTCAAAGATGACGTACACGTTTTAAAGGATTCGATAAAAAGTCAACCGGTGAATTGGCAGTTGTTGCTGTTGTCGTTGTTAATTCATCAGGTTTATCAAATGATAAAAGTTCCAAACAAGGATTATTATTGGATTGATTAAAAGGAATTTGTCCAAATGAATCTAAAGATATAGAGAGAAAAAGGAAAAATCATATTTGATTTAGACAGTGGCTTTAAAATTAGAATTAATTATTATCAGTAATAATGTTAATTACAATGGAAATAATATTGATTGAGCGGGGGAAATCAAAGCCCGAATTATTTAGGTAAACACAAAATTATGCATTGAAATTATGTGATTATTAAAAATAAGACAATAATTGAATTTGAAGAGAATTTTGTGAACGAATGGAATTCAATCAAGCTAAAGTTTCAACGCTCTCTAGAGATGAGACGTCTATGAGCATGATCGATGGTGGTCGTGGATTCGATTACTGGGATGCAAACTATTAAGTTTCACATGGAGAGGAGGAAACAGTCTTCCAGTGCTGCCAGGTATTCTCAATGGTTGGTCTAACTTAGATTAGTTTGTGATTTTAATAAGACTTAACACTTTCCATAACCAAATGCACAAAAACTATTCACATAAAACCATCGAGACAAGGAATTGTCGGTGAAAATGCCTTTATATTTTGAATGTCTACTAATAACATTAGATTAATCGGTTAAAGTGGTTTCAACTAACTTCGGTGTTACACTTTCTTCAGATTAAGCAACAGAATAGTATCACTAGTTCTTAAACTTAAGGTATGCTTTGAAACTAAGTACATGAATCTACACACGGCAGGTGAGTTAATAATAACCGATACAAGATAGTAATTTTAACTTTTTTCAAAATCCTCATAATATTAAAACATTAATAAATGAACGAAGAATATTCGCTCTTCAATAATTTCTCATCCGGTTCTATAATCATATCTCCAAATTAATAATCTGAAATTTGGTCAGGTTTAAAGTAAAATTATTAGAGTATATGGTTTGAATTATTTTTTCTGGTTAGCGTATTTCTTTTTACTGAGTTCGTTTTCTACGCAGTGAGGTCGCTAACCGCTTGCCCAATCGTCCTTCCTTTATCCGGGCTTCGGACCAGCAGTAACCCCAGAGGGGCTCCAAGCGAAATTACGCCAAGAAATGCAAACAGTCATGAGAAGAATCAACAATTAAAAAAATGAATAGAACTGGAAAGGAAAGCCCACGACAGAGTAGGTTAGAGAATGCTAGTCGGCGACCCAAGCTCCATCGGAGATAACAGGGATAAGTTAGAAGGATTAGGAGTGTTTGTCAATTAAAAAAAGAATTTGTTCATATTGAAACAACTAGTAAGTATTTCTCTCTAAACCTGGCCACAGGTGGCATTTTCGGTTTAAATAAAACTAATCTTTAAATGATTACAATAACTGACACAAAAAATGTTTTTTTAGCTACAAAAATAATTACAAAAAAAAACAGACAATGATGCATAAATTTTCCAAAACCAAATCATATAGAAATTAAAACAAAAGGATTGAATAGAAAATAATTGGCACGTCAAAATTAAACAATTACACCAAGACTATTTGACAATATATGTACGAGTAACATATGATTACTTACGTGTTTACTTGTTGAAAGATGTGAATTATGTAATCACAGTTAAATAAAAAAAATAATAAATGCTGATTAAACGGTAACGTTATGATAAGGAAAACAGTATAGAGTTCATTACTGATTTACCTATTGATTGATAGACATACGCAGTAGACATACGCTAGTAAAAATAATCTGCGTGACTTAAGGATACAAGATTATGATGGGCAGAAGTAGGAATTCAAGGATGCATGTTTTTATCGTGCTTGTGACTATGCGTCAATTGCATGTACTTTTAACCAACGCCAGTCAGTCAGATACAACGTAGAACTTCGAACGTAAATACATCAGTTCAGGTTGCCATATCACATTAGCACAGAGAAGCAACTGACAGTTCAAATCCAATAGTGTAAGCGATAGAAGTATTAACAGTAATGGAGAAGATTACGGATCGAAGATATTATTGAAGACGTATAATCTAGCGAAATAATCTTAAAAAGCGAAAGATAAAGGTGTTGAAGAATTTCGAAGATTAGGATTTGAGGAACACAACAAGTGGATGCACATGCGCCATTGCAAGCGATTTTGAGCTATGTCATTCAAGGTCTCTAACCATTGGTGACATTCGTCACGCTGACACCAATCAGGTGGTCTACATCTACCAACGTGACTCAGTCCACTTGTCAGTGACTTCATGGATTGCTGCAATTTTTTGGTTTGGCCGCCCCTATCTTTCTTCCGACCTACTCCTACACCACAAAACAGCTCGTCGAGGCAGTCGGTGGTTAGGCATAACACATGTCCCAACCACCTCAATTGATGAAGTTTCATCACTTCATCTATTGATGTGCCATCCTTACCTAGAACTCGTTTCCTAACGACAGCATTGCTTACCCAGTTGTCTCAGGATATACGAGCAATGCTTCGGAGACACCGATGATCGAACACAAGCAATCGACTAATGTCCTCTACTCTCACAAGCCATGTTGCGCATCCGTATAGAAGAATGGAGCGAACTGCCGCACAGTACACTCATCCTTAGTTAGCAAACGGATATCCCTCCTACGCCATAAATGACGTAAATTGGCGAAATCCACTCGAGCTTTCTGTATCCGTGCTGAGATTTCGTCAGTCACCAGGCGATCAACAGTGATGAGACTTCCGAGATAAGTGAAGCGCTTTACACGTTCGACCACTTCACTTCCTATCACTAGTTCAGGTACCAATGCAAACTTGTAACCGAAATTTGAGGTTTGATACAAAATGCACTAAGCTACTTAGTTCATAAAGGCATTAATTTGTTCAAATAAGTATGAAGTAATTATTGCTGGAGGTTGAAACATCCCATTGTTGAGTGACACTTGATCAATCCCTCTAACTATCTACTATGCATGAGTGAGGATTTTCTCGATACTGTTCTTTAGTTACAAGTTTTTGTTTATAGTTAGATTTAGTCCTATGATTATCAACTAATATTATATAACATACAAGATCAACTGGTACAGATTACGAACATAACACATATTTACAGTTCATAGATGAATACAGTGATTAGAATATCAGGAACAGAGAAAAAACTGCCACATTTGAAATAACTAATCAATCAAACGTTGTTAGATCACCATTAGAAACCTGGAAATACTGAAAGACGACCGTTTCGTCCAGGTATGGGACTCATCAGCTGTGCGCATCCACGACTCCTACACCTTGCAGGATTCGAACCCGGGACCTTCGGTCATGCGCGCGAACACCTAACCTCCGGACCACTTGGCCAGCATCCAACGGATTCGTGGATGCACACTGCTGATGAGTCCCATTCCAGGACGAAACGACCCTCTTTCACTGCTTCCAGGTTTCTAATGGTGGTCTAATTAACAATGATTGAATGATGATTTCAAATGTCTAAAAACAATAATCTCCATAACTCTAATTATAAAAAAAACTATCAATTTTTAATCAATTAGAATTCATTATACACAAATAAAAAAAAGAGACAATAGGAAAATATTGAATCGTACAATTTCAATAGATCAATGGAATTCAGTTGTTAGTCAACTATGAATAAATAATACAGAAATTGCAAAAGACACATGTATATAATCAGTCCCAAAAAAAAACAAACAAACAAGACAATTTACTAAGAATTCAATTATCAATAGTATAAAGTGTTAAAAAAGAAGTGTTTTATTGAACTAGGCGAGAATCAACAACTTGAGTTAATTTAAATCATTTAATCAAAATTTCAACAGTTTTATGTTATGAGAAATTAATTTCAATTAAATGAAATAAGCTTTTACAGTTTGATTAAATCATGATGATAACATAACTAATTGTATAATAAGATTTGTAAAAAATTTAACCTTAAAATGTATACAATTGATTCCGTACAAATTATTATCACGTCACAATAAAATACAGTAAATTCAACTTGAATTCTTAAAATACAGTGGGAAATTGTTCCACTTTGTAGATAATCTATTAGATTTGTGAAATTATACAATTCACTACTAACTCCGCCCGGGGATCTTCTAGGGCGACATTTATGGCGTAGGTGAGATATCTGTTTGCTGACAACTGAGTAAACAATGCTGTTGTTAGGAAACCGGTGCCAGGTAAGGATGGCAGGTCGATAAATGAAGTATTGAAACTTCATCAGTTGACTTGGTTGGGTCCAACCACCGACTGCCTCGATGAACGATGTTTTGTGGTGTAGGAGGGTTCGCAAGACGTAAGTCACCAGTCGTTAGAGACCAGGGACGACATGGCTTAAAATCGTTTGCAATGGCGCAGGTGCATCCATTCTTTGTGTTCTCTCAAATTCTGATCTTCTGAATTCCTCATCATCTCTATCCTTCTCATTCTTAAGTTATCTCACTGAATTATACTTCTTGAATAATATCCTCGAAACCTAATCTCTATTTCTGCTAATACTTCTACTATATCTGTCACTATAGGATTTTAATTGACAACTGAGTCTCTGTGTTGATGTGATATGGCAACTTGAACTGATGTACGTACGAAGCTCTACGTTGCTGTTGACTGAATAATTGACTTTTGGGAAACCACCCGTTCCAACTTTGGATAAAGGAGGACTAGAAAACGCTAACGCAAAAAAAATAAATTCAAACCATTTAAACTACGCCCCGGTAATTGGAAGTTTTTCATTTAAAAAAGTTATGGAACCACGTGATGAAGACAAGTTTCTTCGGAATTCACAAAGCCGATGTCTCTTCTAACGACCGGAGCAAAAATTAATATAGTTATATGGAACGTTCGAACAATTTGGGAGACTTGAAGAACTATTCACGTTGCCGCGAAAGTAAAGTCAGTCATTCAGCTAAAGCGTAGAACTTCGTACGTATGTACATCAGTTAAAGTTGCTATACCACATTAGCACAAAGAGATTGAACTGTCAATTCGAATCCCATAGTAGTAAAGATGGTAAAGCGAAAATAAAACCTGGTGGTGCTTGCAATAAAAGAATCATAAGGGACAGAGGCTGGACAAAAAAGACTAACTACAAGAGAGATGCAGTTATACTGCAGCTATGAAGAA